ACTGAACCATCTAACTAATAGAATGAGAAGCCATGAAACTCACCACTGAGCATCAAGAAGCCCTAAACCAGGCTACCCTTTCTCCCTCTCTGTTTCTATTGAGCCCTCTTGATGAGAGAAGTGTTTGCAAAAGTTGAAAAATAGGTGGATAGTAGGGCTGGCTCAGCAGTTAAGAGCACTTGCTGTTCTTCCAGAGAACCTGAGTTCAGGTCCCAGTACCCACATGGCAGTTCACAACCATCTGTAACTTTGGTTCCAAGGGATCCTACATCCTCTTCTGGCCTTTACAGGTAGGGCACACTCATGGTGTGCATACGTACATGCTGACAAACACCCATGCACATAAAATAAAAACAAATAAAGCTTTGGGGAAATGTCAGGTGGTATGAGCTACAGGAAACTTCATGAAAATGATATTTTACTTTCTTTCAATAGTGTGCTAGAGGAGGAAGTTCAAAAAAGTTATACCAAACAGCATACCCACAACACACTCCTGATGTCTGCTTAAAAACAATTCTCACATGTGCCTCACACATACAGACAGAATGTACCAACCAAAAATTAAAAATAGAAATGTTTTTGTGACAGTAATATGTATAATAATGAATACAAATTGACAGCCTGTTGATGTGTACTTTCCATGGTGCTAAATAATAAGCCGTAGATAAGAAAGCTTGCCAAAGAGACAGATTCAAGGAAGTGTCCTTAAGATATCCAGAGAGGGAAAAAGCAAGCTACTAATAGCAATCTATATAGCAGGATCCCACTTTTACAGCAATAGATGCCCTTTACAGACCTCTGTTATCTGTGTTTATATAAATCATGAGGAAAATTTGATAAAAAAAAAATACACAAAATCACTATCAGAACTCCAGGGCTATTAAACTGGAAATGAGGAGAGAACTAAGTTCATTCAAGATCACTTTTTTCTAATTAATTCTGTGTGCATATTACATTTTTTATTGAAATTTAAAGGCTTTTATAATTACAGTTGACAAAGCACTGTTCCTTCTTGGTGAGAACCCTACGAGTTAAAGGTTCAACAGCCCTTATGTCTGCTCCAATAAAATGCTTCCTGTACTTTCTTTCACAAGAAGTGTTGTAAAATAGTTTATGAAGATATAAGTACAATGTGTGCCTTAGTGAGATTTGGTGATGTCCATTAAGCAACAGCTAACTGGTATTTTCACCAAATAATGTCAAAACAAATTCTCATGTCTCCTACACAGCAACACAGAAAGCAATTCAAAGCCATTACACATTTCTAAAACCTGGAACAATTTACTTTTTTGATACAGGCTCTTATTATATAGCCCTCCTTGGCCTGGTTCTCGGAGTGTAGCCAGTCTTGCCTAGAACTCAAGGCAATCCTCCTGTCTCAGCTTCCCAAATGTTGGGATACAGGCTGCCACTATGCCCAGCTTATTGAGCACAATTTTAATGTATATCCAAGCCAATTTTTTTTTTTACTTTTTTCTCATTTGGAAGATTTGATATATGCACTATATGCATATACATACATAGAAAAATGTATCATATATGTCTTAAGCTTTGAAGCAAAATATAGAATTAAATATCAGAGGAGCACAGTTCTCCAACAGAAGAGTTGAAAATTAACATCTCCCAGTTCCTCCTCACCTCTTACTGCCTGCCCCAGAGACAGAAGCACAAGCCATACTTCTCCCTTCGTAATTTGACAACTAAAATAGGTATCACTGACAATATGCTTTGGAGGGTTAACTTTCTAAAAACCTTTGCAAGTTTTAGTGGGTTTGTTTGTTGTTTGTTTTTCCAAATCTTCACTCAACACAACATTCTAATATTCACCCATGTGGTCAGGTGAGATATTTTGTACATCAACTTCATTTACTGTGTATCATCTCTTCTCTTATCAGAAGCTTACTAAAGAAGGGAGAGGAGGGAAGGAAGAAGGGAAAGGAAAGGAAGGGGTGGGAGGAAGGAGAGGGGAGCATTAAGGAGCACCATCTACCTCCAGAACGTCAGGACAAGTAATAATCACAGCACAGCACCTTGTCTTCCTTGAGGAGCTTCCCTGGTCCCTTTTCTGGGTCAGTAATGATGAGAGAGGACTTCGTGATAAACTTTTTCAGAACCAGCCTTGCATCTGAAAGAACAGGACAGCAAAATGTAAAACAAGACAAAAAACAAAGGGCAAGCCGTCCTGATTGTGCAGCCCATCACACAGCCAGAACTCGATGAGGTTGGTGTAGAAGGTCCACTGTCGCTGGTTTTGAGGAATTCAGGAGAACGGCACTCAAGAACACATCACTTCAGAGCACTCAGTGTGTCCCTAGAATTATGATAGGATTTTTGAAGACCCAAAGAAATATAAAACATGACACTGGGTCCCAAATTGTCATATTTGTTAAAAATGTTCGTCCTGGAGAAAAGAGCAACAAGAGAAAAATATTTCCAACAGACAGATTGTCACTTTCTTGAACTTTCACACACACACACACACACATACACACACACTCAAAAGAAAATCTCTTTTTAAAAAATGCTTAAAATACTTTAATTTAATACCCATAGTCATATCACACACACACACACACACACACACACACACACACATCACAAGATCTGCTTAAAAGTATACTAATCTAAGAGAATTAAGAGCGTGAAATAAACAACAGGGCTTACCATATTCTTACACAGAATTACTGAATGCTAGAAATTGTGATTAGTCCCAAATTACATTCAGCGTGATAAAATAGTTTTCTGTGGCTGCTGTATCAAGTACCCACAAATCAGGTGGGTTAAGACAGTTCTAATTCATCCTCTCACAGTTCCAGAGGTCGAATAACTGAGTCCAGTTCTGCTGACCTGCAGGCTCTGAGCAGAGACACTGATCCTTGTCTTTTTCAACCTCCACTGAGCTGCCTGTATTCCTTGGCTTATGGCCACTCCTCCATCTTCAGATACATCCTTCTGAACTCTGTTTCTGTCATCCAGCTGCCTTCTCTTCTGTGCCAATCCTCCCTCTGTCCCTAGCTTATAAAGACACAAATTACATATGGGTCCAACCTGGATAATCTTCCTAATCAAGGACTCCAAGGATCTGCAACGTCTCTTTTGCTATATGATTCAACAGTCACATGTTTCAGGGATCTGAATCTAGTTGTTTGGTAGCCATTGTTCAACCTTCTTTCTCATCCATTTACAATTCACATGCATCTCACAGGCAAAACACATTTACCCATCCCAACACCCCCAAAAGGTATGACCACATCAACTCAAACTCAAATTCTCATCTAAATCATCACAACTCAGAAATTTCAAACCTCAAACTCTCAAGCATGTGCATAAGGTTTGGGTGAGACTCTGTGATCCATCCTGGGCCGAAATTCCTCTCTGTCCATGAACCTTGTGAGCCAGAAACAATTTATCTTCTTCCAAACTATAATGGTGGCACAAGCACAGGACACAGTCATAGACACTGCCACTCAAAATAATGTCAAAATATAGCATACAAATTCCACTTGGCTTCAGACCTGGAGATAACTCTCCATTCTGTAGGCCTGTTTCTTTACCTTCTGGACCCAAGGATCCACATCCACTGAATCATCTCTCCCTTTTCATGAATTATAGCATGTCACCTGACCTGGTAGATTCAAAGCTATAATTCCAAAACTTAAAAGGCTGAGACTGAATGATCTGTGGTTTCAAAGCCACACTGGATTACACAGAGTTCCAGGACAGGCTGGACTCATAGTAAGACCCCAACTGAGGAGGAGGTGGAAGAGGAGGAGAAGAAATGACAGAAGGGAGGGAGGAAGAAAAAAGAAAGTGCGTGCTAGCAGTTAAATAGCTTTATTAATCTGTCCCTGCCTACAAAATTTGGTAGACCAGTACTCTTCTTTTTATTTTAATTCTCTCTGTCCCTTTATTGAAAATGGTATTTCTGTCAATGTAACCCTCTCAAAATCCTTGTGAGACTCCCTACATATCACAGAGATTCATCTAGTCAGAAAGAGGCTCCTCCTGATCTTTTGTGGATAATTTAATTTCTATCCTGACTTCTGCAGAGATTGCTGGGGAAATGTGTGATACATGCTCCCCAATAATTCAGTAGCAAAAAAGATGTTCATCCATATTGATGTCTTTCCCTCCAAAGCTTATTTTCCTGACAGAGACTCTTAATATTTAGTACCTATGCTCTTAATAGACTTCTGTCACTGTAATAAAATGACTGAAATAAGAAACTTATAAAGAGGAAAGGTTTATTGGCTCAAGTTTCAGGTTTCTGTCTCTAGGTGGTTAGTCCTGTTGCCTTTGGGCCTATGACATGGTAGCATTATCACAGGGAGTATATGAGAACCAAGACCTTGTAGTCAAGAACAAACACAAAGGACAGGAAGAGGCTGAGATACCACCAGTCACTTCAAGGGCCCATCTCCAGTGACCAGACCTCCCACTAGGTCCCACATCTCAAAATCTCCAGTGAAATGCCTTTGGGCGCAGGAGCTTTGAGGGAACACCTCAAACCACAGGAGCTTGTCCTGTGATCTGTGTGTGCTGTACCCCACACTACCAAGATCTGCTCCCCTTTGCTTGACAGTTCTTCCAGTAATCTATCCCTTCCCTCCCACATTTTACCATAGACAGCAAGAAAAGGACCAACCACACCTTCAACCTTTTGCTTGGAAACCTCTTCATCTAAACTTTCAAACCCTCTCTCAGTATGTTTTCCCTACAACAGCAGGGTCCAAAGCAGCCGATCTTCCTGCTGCTCCATAGCAAGCCCCCACTGCCTTTGGGAGTGTTTGCTTGTTTTATTATTATGACTGCATGCCTATTGCTAAGTACATTCCCCGGCAAAAATATTAGCAGATTATTCGTTTTCAAGAAACCTAGCTGGGTACAACATTTTACCCCAGTGCATTTTCTTAAATGATGTCATTGAACTAACTCCTGAGTCACTATGACTGACGATGTAACAATGATCGTCACTGTGTATTTTGCTAGGTGTGCTGGGCTGCCTAGCAGGATTATCTGAAAGGCCTTGACGGAAGCACTGAATTAACGAGCATCTTCTGCTCTGTCTGACCAATTTTTTAGCTCATTAGTTTCTTCTCAGTTAAGACAAAAAGATGTCTAACCAAAGACGGTCTGCGCTGTCTCCCCTGCTGTTCTGTTTCCTCCGAGAGAGTGCCTGCATTTGTGATGGGACAATCTGGACCAAGGTCGGATGGGAGATTTTTCCAGATGAAGTGCACTCCCTGAAAGCTAAGGCTCCCCCGTCCCACTGTCTCCCTTACCCTCTGGACAAATTCTGCTGCAACTTTGCTAACGTGGACCTAATCCAGAGTTCTTTACACCTCACGTACATCTTAGTGCAAGCTCTCTTCTTAATCCTGTTTGTTTTATCTGTGCATTATCTATGGATGAAATGGACGAGACATCAAAGAAAGGTGAATTTGCAATGCAGATGGGAGGAGTTGTGGCATCTCAAAGGGTGCGTGTTGCAAGGTTATGCAGTTCTCTGAAGTTAACCTTCCCTGCTCCCCATTCGCCTGCCCCACCTCCATTATCTAATGGTGTCCTGCACACACTTATGAGTTCCACAGAGGTGTGTTTAATCGGAAGCTCCTTAAAATTATCTCCACCAGCTCCTTCTTTCAAGTTACCAAACACACCAAAATACCGAGATGCAGATGCGGTAGGTAGGATTATAGGAACTGAGGTTACCTGTCTGTCCTTCGGTAAGTCACGTATTCTTTCTCAGCCTCCTCATTAAATGATCTGAAATAAGGGGGTCTAATCTTAGAGAACCTGCGAGTCTATCAAAGCTCACTACGAAAATTGGCATGAACTTCCCAATGGAATGGGCTGTAAATTGATTTCTAAATGTTAGAATTTAGTGGGAAACAAGGCTTCATTCCCAATTTTGCCAATAGATGGCACTATAATTCAAGACAATCAAGAATATTCTTCCTTGACCTTCAGAGTGACCTAAATATGTGTTTTCTTGTTTTTAAAATATTACTGTATTATGCAGTGATCTTTCTTAGTAAGGGAAAATACTTTTCTGTAACAGAAGCGGCTGCTTGTTGGGGTTTCTGTCCTGCCCAGTTCCCATGTCGTTTAGCCCCAAAGAATCACAAGAAATCTACATTAGGTTATAAACTGATTGGCCCCTTAACTCAGGCTTTGTATTAGCTCTTATAACTTATATTAACCCATTATTCTTATCTATGCTAGTCACATGGCTCAGTACCTTTTTCAGCGGGGCAGGTCACATCTTGCTTCTTCTGTGATCTGGGCAGGACTGCGGAAAGAGCTTCCTTCTTCCTAGAATACTCCTGTTCTCATTGCCCTGCCTCTACTTCCTGTCTGGTTTTCCCACCTATACTTCCAGCCTGGCTACCAGCCAATCAGCGTTTATTTAAAATATAACTGACAGAATATAGAATTGTCCTACACCACTTTTCTTCTATTTATTTGGTTCTGGGAATTAAACCCAGGGCCTCCTACATCCTAGGAAGCTCTCTACAGCTCACTGAGTTCTGTCCCCAACTCCTAACAATCTTAAGGACTCATTTTATGTTCCAGGTACCATAGAGTGATTTTACTCGGGTCAGCCTGCCAGGAACCATGCACTTAAAGAAAACTAGCTCCCCCTTCCCCTGACGTTGTCGATTGTCCATAGTTCTTCATGGAGGGGTGAGGGCTTGTGAGCCCTTTCCCATGCCATGCTAGGATGTGCATTGTCTTGCTCTTGTGAGGATCTTGTCCAGGCAGTCATGAGTGCTGTTAAGTTCACGAGTGCAGAATTACTATCACAGTCAGAAGATACTGTTTTGTTCTCATCCTCTCTGATCTCTGGCTCTTTCAGGTTTTCTGCCCACCCCACATGATGCCTGATGGGGAGGGGTGTGATACAGATGTCACATTTATGCCTGGGCACTCCACAGTCATTTATTCTCTGCACTTTGACCAGTTTTAAGTTTCCACATGAACTATCTGCACAAGGAAATGTCTGATGAAGTTAGAGCGTTGCACTGATCTAAATGGAGAGAGATACAAGTTTAGACTGCAGTTTGATATTATATTAGCAAAATAATACTAGTAGATTCACCAGTGGGACCTGTGAGCTCCACTCCCATGGGTTCTTGGCCAGATATGCAGTACCAGGTCTGTGTTTCCTTCTGTGGAACAGGCAGGCCTTAGATCCAAACAGAAAGACCAGGTTACTCTAGGAGGCGCATGTCACATCTTGCCATGACAGTCATTGCTGCAGTTCACAGGGCTGACAGCTGGGTAAGACCAGGGCAGCATGTTCAGCACCTTCCAATACTGTGAGGGCTAGCCAGCAGGGAGGAAGCCATCAGGTCAAAACTGACTCAACTTCTCCATGTCTTGAAGGAAAACATCCTAATTTCTCTGGGCGAAATGTTCTAACCCTAGAAAACACTAGCCAGTGTTTGCTAGTGGTGATGTGTAAATATGTGATATGTAGGTCTTAGCAGGATTTAAGTTTGCTTTTTCAGAATATCATTTCACTTTGAAATAAGACAAAAATCATTTGTTTTGCTCTTTCAGCTGAAAAAGCAAGCCTCTTTAGAGAAACATGGTAATAACCTAGAGAGCCCATCCATCTATGATATTGAACAAATCCTCTGCAGACTGCTGGCCACAACATCAATGATGACCAAGTTCCTGAAGCAGGTGTCCCAACATTCTTCCTTTAAGAAAGCTAAGCAACAACGTAAAGTAAAGAGGAAGAAGAATAAAGGAGAGGAGCTGAAGGATTCTAAATCTAAGCACATGCAAAAGTAGCCCAGTCAAGTACAGAAGAGTACAAAGGATCTATTTCCAGGACTATATGAGGATGAAAAGGTTTCTTTGGGAGTTGGTGTAGTTTTTTGGTCTTTTGGGGTTTTTGCCATAGCCTTTACTGAAAATTTTTCAGACAAATCTGGATTTCCATTCAACTGCAAAATAGTCCACACTGACTAGTGTGGCTCCCATAATAAAATGAAAACACCTTAACCTGACGCCTAAGGGTATAAAATAATCCGGTGGCTATTATAGCAGCAACATTTTTTTTTTCAGCCTGACGATTTTTTTTTTCATCATGACAGGTAGTTGCTATGTGATTTACACTGCATCATTTAGTTTTCACAAGTCTCAAAGGGAAGGATCCATCACTGGCCCCTCCTTCCAGAAAAGCAAACTAGGGTACAAAGAATTAGAGTGCTCTACTCATGCTCACATAGGATTCACACCCAAGCATCCTCTGGGAACCAAGTGCTTACCCCTTCCACCTGCACTCTAGATTACCTATGGAAGCTATGGCATAGGCTCCAGTAAGGCAATCTTGTTACGTTCATTCCCAGACCTAACATTTGACTTATGCTCTTAGCTCTGCTACTATGTATTCAAATCCCATTCATCTGGCAAGGTCAAGTTGAACTCAAACAAGTTGGCTTCCTGTTCTATCTCAGGGCAGGGACTGCCTTTCCTGCCAGTTTTTCCCTTTAACCCTTCTCTTTATGCTCACATCTTTCTGATACTGTTATATAATTGCTAGATGCTTTCTAGATGATTGTCCAGATCGCAGAAACAACCAGTCATGCCTACAACAACATTAGCACATTCGGTAGCGGGCATTCCATCAAGGCTCACTAAGCTCATGCATGCAGATAGCCGTACAAAATGACTTGACGTCTATGAGCACTCAGCAAGTTACACAGGGATGTCTTCCTAAAGGCTTTCCAAGCCGTGGTTTACAGATCTGGAGAACAATAGAGCAAACTGTGAGCAAAATGCAAGGTAGCATATAGATTTTTGGACTTCGTTGAAATAGAAAATTCATAAAAGACATGAAAAATTTTAAGTGCACATCTCAATGAACTTCCATAAACAAAATATCCATGTAACCAGGGGCCAAATTGAGAAAATAACAGGTCTCAGAAGTCCTCCTGTGCAATAGGGTAATTGGGATTTGGATTACTAACACCATGAGTCAACTTTTCCTAGGAAAATTTTTTAATTTTCAATAACAACTTTTACTCTGGGGGGGTCAAATATATTACTGAAATATTTAAACATTTAAATATTTAAACATTTAGGTAATCGTGTACTTTGTCTAAGTCTTTCAGAAAACAACCTTGAACATATATTGTATAATTTATTGCTTAAATTGTCAGAAGTTGGTAACCTAACAAGAGACATGCCAGGGGGGCAGGTGGTTAGGAGTGAAGTAAAAGAGAAAAGAAAAATGAAGGCAATCTTCATAGAGTAACAATAGAGAATACAGTATCTAGTTGGAAGGTCGAAATGTCAATCATCTCATACTATGGCCTCAAACATCTTAACATCACATGTGCTCCTTACCTGCCCAGTCCAGAAAATGAACACACTCAGTCTGAGAATAGCGAGCAGCAACGTCTCGAGCTTTCTCCCCCCGGAAGTTTAAAGCTTCTATATCGACATCCAGCTCCACCAGGGCCTTCAAAGTTTCCAGGCGGCCCCAGGCTGCAGCGCAGTGTAAGAGAGTGTACCCTACAGAGTAGAGATGATCAGATCAAACAGATTTAGGAGGGCTTGGCAGTTTTTAACTTTATGATGGTAGAAAAGGCATTCACATTCTGTAGGGAGCACACTTGAAGACTTGTTTAGCCTTTTCCAAGGCTCATAACATGTGTTCCAATACTCTGATACACTGATGCTAGACAGCAACAGTGAGCAGCAGCACCAAGGCAACCATGTAATCACATGAAAAAATAGATCCCAAGCATGTTCTCTGGTATACAGTGTTGCGTATATTATGATAACCAGGCTAGCTAAGTTTCTGCTTACAGTACTTTATAATGGGTCCATTGGGTCATTGGTGTAGGAGGTGCTTCTGTTTATGTGTTGGTTTTATTGGTCGAATAAAGAAATTGCCTTGATCTTTTGATAGGGCAGAACTTAGGTAGGCAGAATAGACAGAACTGAATGCTGGGAAGAAGGGCAGACAGGCAGATGCCATGGTTTTCCTACCTGAGACAGACACTGGTTAGAAGCTTGCCAGTAAGCCACAGTCACGTGGCAACCCTTTTCTTTCAACAGGTCATGATTTCATCACAAGTCAGGGTACATCTATGTGTTTGTTATTCCAGACTATTTTATGTAGTGGATCATAAACATAGCCAAATACTGAACAGTTACTATGAGCCAGGCACTAAGTGTTCTACACAGTAAATGCATTGAATTTTAGAGAACCTGTAGCATCAGAATTATTATAATCCTCATCTTACAGACAAGAAAACTAAAATTCAGAGATGCTCAGAAACTTGCCTCAAGGAACGCAGCCAGGAAAATGATGGATGCAAGATACCAACCTGGGCAGTCTGACTCCTGAGCTCCTCCACATCTACTAAGGAAGAGGGCAATCTCCCTATCAGTTGCCCACTTCGGAACTGCAAGCCTTTATGATTTTAAGGAACTTTCGTCAGACTCTAATTACCCTTGCTTTACTCTCAATCGAAATCATTATCACTGTGTATGCTTTGGTTTGCAAATTAATCTTTTGAATTAAATCTGACAGTGTGACTTGCCAAACTAGAAAGCAATTTCCTGGGCTTAGTGAGGTGTGCAGTAAAGGGGGAAACACAGGGTGCACCTTAAAGAGTTTTTCCCACTGATTTGTTTAAAAATCAAGGACTGCTGTTCTATTGTCCTGAAAGGCCCCAGTTAAGTAGGGCAGCTAGGGCTAGGAACACAACTTCCCTAACATGCACAAGGTCCTGGGTTCTAGAAAGCAATTAAAAATTATCTAAATTCAGGTTCCAACACCAGAGCTTCTAGCAGCCCTCACTAAAAGATCTTGGGAGTCAGGGGCTCACAGTGTGCTTTTCACAAGCCCCATCCCTTGCTCAGCCAGAAAGTCCTTCACACTGAAAACGTACACTGGTGGGCGACCTGGGGGCTCTCAATTGGCCCATATCCAGTAGCTAATTGGCCAACACTTGTCTTAAGAACCCAACCCTTTTGTTCTCAAAGCATCCAGGAATGTTTTGGCCTTAGGTAGCCTCGGGTTTGTCAGAAGTTGTGAACACTAGACCATTACCAGGGAAAGGAAAATGCTTTTACTTACAGACCCTGCTAAGAGAAAGTGAGTCAGCTCTTTGTTCAAAGTAGAAAATGTGTCAACTGGTGACACGTATAAGGGAATAGATTGTAACTTTAAATTTGTAACAAATTCCAAAATGACTTTTTTAATACACACACAAATACATACACACATACACACATACACACACACACACACACACACACACACACACACACACACACACACAC